CCCAGCAAGTTTGGAATCATGAACCAACTTGAGAGCTTCCACACCCGAACAGACTCAAGTACATAAAGGGGCCCTAGGAAGTTCTTTTGCGTTAGGATGGAAACATTCGGAGTTGCCCTCACAGGGGAGGCTCGGACAGCATCCTTGATAAGGCATCAGCCTTACCATTCCTCGATCCCGGTCGATATGATATAACAAAATTAAATCTGGAAAAGAATAGAGACCAGCGAGCTTGTCTAGAAGACAATCTCTTGGCCGAATGAATAAATTCCAGATTTTTATGGTCAGTGAGAACAGTTACAGGATGATTAGCCCCTTCTAGCAGATGCCTCCATTCAGAAAAGGCTTCCTTAATTGCCAGTAGCTCTTTATTCCCAATGTCGTAATTTCTTTCGGCTGAGGACATCAAACGGGAAAAGAAGGCACAAGGATGAAGCTGCATTTTTCCACCACTTCACTGAGACAGTATCGCTCCCACGGCAGAATTGGAGGCATCCACTTCCACTATAAAGGGTAGTTCAGGATCAGGATGTACCAAGATTGGTGCAGAAGTGAAAAGAGTTTTCAGTTTTTCAAACACAGCTTGTGCCTCAGAGGTCCACATGAAGGGTACCCCTTTCTTTGTAAGCTGTGTGATTGGAGCTATCACTCTAGAAAAAGTTTCTTATAAATTTTCTGTAAAAGTTGGCAAACCCGATGAAACGATGAATTTCCTTAACATTTCCAGGTGCTGACCAATCTACCACTGCTTTGATTTTCTCGGGATCCATGCTCACGCCCTCTGGAGAAATGATATATAGCCTAAGAACTGGATCTGGGTTTGTTCAAACTCACATTTCTCCAATTTAATGTAAAGTCTATTCTTCCTTAATCTTTCAAAAACTGTGCAAACATGTGTGCGGTGCTCCTCCCAATTATCGTAAAAGATAAGGATATCATCCAGATAGGCAATTACAAATTGGTCCAACAGATCACGAAAAACATTGTTGATAAAATGCTGAAACGTTGCAAAGTCCAAAACGGCATTGTAGCAAACTTGCTCATCAGAGATGGACATGGAGTTCCCCTGTTTTATTAGAAGTATTCCTCAATCCTTTATTCCTTACCCCCTTCCTTCCTGAGAGGCACAGGGACAGATGTGTAAGTGTTAAAAGTTGCTGGCAGACTGGAGCAGCAGGGGGTCCAGCACTACAAAGCCCCTCCATAGAGACAGCGACTCTCTTTCCAAGGAACCTGTTTGATTTCACACCTCGGGGAAGGATGGCAGAACCTTCTCAAGAGTTCAAGGGATTCCCCAGAAGCACAAACAAGATAACATTTTTAACAGATCTGGTTTTCCCGTTTCATATCATGGATTATGACAGATGTTGGTTCTAATTCAGAGTTCGCTCAACTGACCCCTCCCTAAACAGCGTATTGGTCAGTTACTCAGAGCCATTTCCCCTGCTGGGGGACTTTTAAAAACTCAGGCTAACAGGCCTAAAAAAAAAAAGCTAAAGAGATCTCCTAATTTTAACATCGTAACAGCAGGAGATCAAAGACCCTTCGCTCTGCAACTTAGATCTGCTTACCTTAATGCTGAACATGACAAGTAACTTAAACCTTTTAACTTCTCCCTGTTATCTCTTTGCTGTGCTACTTTCTATGTATATACAGTTGCAAGAAAAAGTATGTGAACCCCTTGGGATTACGTGGAGTTTTGCATGAATTGGGCATAAAATGTGCTCTGAACGTCATCTAAGTCACAACAATAGAAGAACACAGTCTGCTGAACATAATACTACACAAACATTAGATGTTGCCATGGTTTAATTGCACATAACATGTAAACATTCACAGTGCAGGGAGGAAAAAGTATGTGAACCTTTGGACTTAATAACTGGTTGACCCTCCTTTGGCAGCAATAACCTCAACCAAACGTTTCCCGTAGTTGCAGATCAGACCTGCACAACGATCTGGAGTCATTTTGGACCACTCCTCTTCACAAAACTGTTTCAGTGTAGCAATATTCTTGGGGGATGTCTGGTGTGAATCGCTCTCTTAAGGTCATGCCACAGCATTTCAATGGGGTTGAGGTCAGGACTCTGACTGGGCCACTCCAGAAGGCGTATTCTGTGCTGTTGCAGCCATTGTTTTGTTGAATGACTTGTATGCTTTGGGTCATTGTCCTGTTGCATCACCCATCCTCTGTGGAGCTTCAGTTGGCGGACAGATGGTCGTACGTTTTCCTGCAAAATGTCTTGATAAACTCTGGAATTCATTTTCCCATCAATGACAACAATCCGTCCAGGCCCTGAGGCAGCAAAGCAGCCCCAAACCATGATGCTCCCTCCGCCATGTTTCACAGTGGGGATGAGGTTTTGATGTTGGTGTGTGCTGAGCCTTTTTTTCTCCACACATAGTGTTGTGTGTTCTTCCCAAACAACTCAATCTTGGTTTCATCTGTCCACAGTATATTCTGCCAGTAGTGCTGTGGAACATCCAGGTGCTCTTTTGCAAACTTCAAACGTGCTGCAATATTCTTTTTGGACAGCAATGGCTTCCTCCGTGGTGTCCTCCCATGTACTCCATTCTTGTTTAATGTTTTCCTTATTCATCCGATCAACAACGCTGCTAGACTCATACACCTCACCAACCGATCAGGGACTGCTAGACTCATACACCTTACCAACCGATCAGCGACTGCCGCTAGACTCATACACCTTACCAACCGATCAGTGACTGCAGCTAGACTCATACACCTTACCAACCGATCAGGGACTGCTGCTAGACTCATACACCTTACCAACCGATCAGGGACTGCTGCTAGACTCATACACCTTACTAACCGATCAGGGACTGCTGCTAGACTCATACACCTCACCAACCGATCAGGGACTGCTGCTAGACTCATACACCTTACCAACCGATCAGGGACTGCCGCTAGACTCATACACCTTACCAACCGATCAGCGACTGCCGCTAGACTCATACACCTTACCAACCGATCAGCGACTGCCGCTAGACTCATACACCTTACCAACCGATCAGCGACTGCCACTAGATTCATACACCTTACCAACCGATCAGCGACTGCTGCTAGACTCATACACCTTACCAACCGATCAGTGACTGCCGCTAGACTCATACACCTTACCAACCGATCAGTGACTGCTGCTAGACTCATACACCTTACCAACCGATCAGTGACTGCCGCTAGACTCATACACCTTACCAACCGATCAGTGACTGCTGCTAGACTCATACACCTCACCGACTGATCAGTGACTGCTGCTAGACTCATACACCCTTACCGACCGATCAGCGACTGCTGCTAGACTCATACACCTTACTAACCGATCAGAGACTGCTGCTAGACTCATACACCTTACTAACCGATCAGAGACTGCTGCTAGACTCATACACCTCACCAACCGATCAACGACTGCTGCCCCTCTCTGCCAATCCCTTCACTGGCTTCCACTAACCCAACATATAAAATTCAAAATACTAACCACAACTTACAAAGCCATCCACAACCCTGCCACACAGTACACCAATAATATGTTGGGGGGTGTGATCTCCGGTATTTGTATGACACCGCCCCTCACATAGCACACTAATAATATGTTGGGGGGGTGTGATCTCCTGTATTTGTATGACACCGCCCCCTCACATAGTACACTAATAATATGTTGGGGGGTGTGATCTCCGGTATTTGTATGACACCGCCCCTCACATAGCACACTAATAATATGTTGGGGGGGTGTGATCTCCGGTATTTGTATGACACCGCCCCTCACATAGTACACTAATAATATGTTGGGGGAGTGTGACAAGCATGTGTTAAGCCATGACAAATTCTGGCCGTATTTAATAAACTAAGTGACTTCCTATATTCGTCAGCTCCAACTGGTGGCCATAATGAGGTATTAGTTTCAAAATGCCTCAGTCAGGAAAAACAGTTCAATACCACATTATGGCCACTAGATGGAGCCAATGATCATAGGAAATCCCTCTATGAAAAGATCAACATGTGACATGGCTGAATGAATGCTGGTCATATTAGTTCATCTATTCTCTAAGTGGGGTGGTATCTATCGGGCCAATCCCTTTTACAAACCACACATAATATCGCCCTTCAAAGTGAAAACAGAAACGATTTGCACAAAATCAAAGAGTGGAAATATTTTCTGGTGGATCCCTTCTACCCAGACCCCATATGTAGACATAGAACAACAAGCTGTGTTCCCTCTCATGCCGCACTCCTCCAACCACCCAAACCCACACAGAAGCCAAGGGAAATAATGAGAGGAAAGTTCCCCCCTAGTTTGGGGCGGAGTTCTCCTTCCCTCCTGTTGGGGGATGGGAGAAGGATGGACTGAAGACAGAGAGACGCTTCGGGGTCACCACTGTTCTGTAGAGCCTTGAAATGAAGGACATCAACTTCAGAAGTTCTTGTTGTCTGTGTAAAGTTCCCCGATAACGAGATCTGGGCTCTCCCGGCTTCTAGCTCTGTAACCCGCTATATCATTATCAGGAAACGCAACTCCGACACCCAAGAAGGGCTGAAGTTGTGTCCTTCATTTCCAGGATCTACTGACCACTCTGCACCCCAACATTTACTGCACTTCATCCATGTCTTTGGGGGCCTCTCCCTTTTATGAACGGTTTCTTCCATGATGAAGATCAGCCATGGAGTATATCTGAGGTGTATATCAGGGTGTGCTTCTTCCCCACATGAGAGCTGGGATGTCAAGCAACATTCATCTAGAAGACATTTCCCGCACTCAAGGCACTAATACACCTCCAGGGTTGTATGAGACCCCTGATGTACAAGAAGATAGGACTTCAGTGAGGAACATTTCCCTCACTCAGGACAGGAATACGGCTTCTGCTCCGTGTGAGATCTCTGATGTTTGGAAAGACCGGACTTCACTGAAAAACATTTCCCGCACTTCAGGACAGGAATACGGCTTCTCCCCTGTGTGAGATCTCTGATGTGTGTGAAGACTGGACTCTCACTGAAAAACATTTCCCGCACTCAGAACAGGAATACGGCTTCTCCCCTGTGTGAGATCTCTGATGTGTGTAAAGACTGGACTTGTCTGAAAAACATTTTCTGCACTCAGGACAGGAATACAGCTTTTCCTCCCTGTGTGAGATCTCTGATGTTTGTAAAGACCGGACTTCTGTGAAAAACAAGATCCGCACTCTGGACAGGAATACGGCTTCTCCCCTGTGTGAGATCTCTGATGTGCGTAAAGTCTGGACTTCACTGAAAAACATTTCCCGCACTCAGAGACAGGAATATGGCTTCTCCCCTGTGTGAGATCTCTGATGTATGTGAAGACTGGACTTGTCTGAAAAACATTTCCCGCACTCAAAACAGGAATACGGCTTCTCCCCTGTGTGAGATCTCTGATGTGTGTGAAGACTGGACTTGTCTGAAAAACATTTCCCACACTCTGGACAGGAATACGGCTTCTCTCCTGTGTGAGATCTCTGATGTTTGTAAAGATTGGACTTTATCAAAAAAACATTTCTCGCACTCAGGACAGGAATGCGGCTTCTCCCCTGTGTGAGATCTCTGATGTATGTGAAGACTGGACTTCAGTGAAAAACATTTTCCCGCACTCTGGACAGGAATAAGGCTTCTCTCCTGTGTGAGATCTCTGATGTTTGTAAAGACCGGACTTATCAAAAAAACATTTCCCGCACTCAGAACAGGAAAATGGCTTCTCCCCTGTGTGAGATCTCTGATGTATGTGAAGACTGGACTTCTGTGAAAAACATTCCCACACTCTGGACAGGAATACGGCTTTCTCCTGTGTGAGATATCTGATCTGTGTAAAGATGGGACTTCTGTGAAAAACATTTCCTGAACTTTGGACAGGAAAACGACTTCTCTGCCTGTGACATCTCTGATGTCTGTAAAGATGGGACTTCTGTGAAAAAAGATTTCCCACACTCAGAACAGGAATACAGCTCTCCCTTTGTGCAATCTCTGCATGTGTGTAAAGATGGACTTCTGTGAAAAACATTTCCCGCACTCAGGACAGGAATACGGCTTCTCCCCTGTGTGAGATCTCTGATGTGTGTAAAGATTGGACTTCTGTGAAAAACATTTCCCGCACTCAGGACAGGAATATGGCTTTTCCCCCTGTGTGAGATCTCTGATGTCTGTAAAGACTGGACTTCTCTGAAAAACATTTCCCACACTCAGGACAGGAATATGGCTTCTCTCCCCCGTGTGAATATTTTATGCACATTAAGCTGGAATTTAGAACAGAAACCCTTCCCGCACTCAGTACAAAGAGAAGCTCTTCCCTGTTGGAAGGCCGGCCCGGTCCCCCAAACAGTCTGAGGTTCCTCAGGATAGAGGTCTCCGAGGAGCTTACAATGGTCCATGGACAAGGAAACTAGGGAAAGCCGGGCTCCCTGGATCTACTGTACCATGTCTCATCCTTTACTTTCCAGTCTGGAGACAAAGTGAGAATCCTCGGAGGTTTTCCTCATCTCCCGGAACTGGTCTTTAAAAGGAGGGACAAAGACAAAGAGGATTACTAGACAGGACTGATTGGTTCCCCCCCAAACCTAGGACTCATCGCCCATCTTCAGGCAGCTTGGTCTCTGAGGAGCTTACAATTCCCCTCAAGGGAACTAGGAAATGTCTCCTCTGATCTCCTACCAGGTCATTTCTTATTCATGGACCAGAGGTCAGAGAGTGAGGATGGGGGGAGAACAACCAAGATGAAGACTGGACTGATCCTGAAGACCACCATCATTGGGGTATTGACTCCTCCCTCATTATCACTTTCTGTTTAAGGGTCCAAAGTTGGAGGATGTTATCACATTATTATCACCATGTAAAAGTCTGTGCTCCAATCACATCATCCGATATAAAATGTCCAGCTGGGAGGAAATGGGGGGAACAAAAGAGAATCCATATTATGTGTATATATAGCAGTGGGGGGGGGGGGAGAGCAGAAGTCAGACATGGAATGTACAGCATAGAGTATATAGTGCAGGGGTCAGGAGTATGTAATGTACAACATAGAGTATATAGTGCAGGGGTCAGGAGTATGTAATGTATGTACAACATAGAGTATATAGTGCAGGGGTCAGGAGTATGTAATGTACAACATAGAGTATATAGTGCAGGGGTCAGGAGTATGTAATGTACAACATAGAGTATATAGTGCAGGGGTCAGGAGTATGTAATGTACAACATAGAGTATATAGTGCAGGGGTCAGGAGGTATGTAATGTAATGTACAACATAGAGTATATAGTGCAGGGGTCAGGAGTATGTAATGTACAACATAGAGTATATAGTGCAGGGGTCAGGGATGTAATGTACAATATAAATATACAGTGTAAGGGTCAGGACTCATAATATTGGTATTCAGCAATCAGTGGTGGCCTAGATGTTCACATGAGACAAGCTGCAGAGGTCTCACACTGCTGCCTCCTGTCTCCTGAGACTGAATCCATTGTTTCTATGTGTTTATCAGATGATGGGGGATCTAGGTGGATCCTCCGTACTGCTCTCTCCTTTACAATAAAGTCTCCTCTTACCCGGTGATGTGAGGGGCGGCTGATTGTCCATCATGACGTCCTTGTAGAGATCCTTGTGTCCTTCTAAATACTCCCACTCCTCCATGGAGAAATAGACAGTGACACCCTGACACCTTATAGGAACCTGACACACACAATGATACAGTCACCATCCAGACACATCCCTTGTCTGTTACTGGAGAATGTCCCAGAATTCCCGGCACCGCTCACCTCTCCTGTCAGCAGCTCCATCATCTTCTTGGTGACTTCTAGAATCTTCTGTGTCTTCTGTCTTGTAGGGATCAGGGATGGAGGTGGGGGGATGGTGATGGGATTCTGGATTCTCGAGGATCTTGTGGTCATACGATGAGATCTCTTCTTGTGTCATTGTCGGTAGATTTCTTCATGACTCCTGTACAGTTCTGTGTGTGATACAAAGAGGTCTTACCTGTCCATAATGGACAACAAGAGGAAGTACTTGGTATAGCAGAGTCCAATGTTTGGTGAAAGGATTGGTGCAAAGCTGAAGGTTTTGGTTCTGTTAGTCCTGATGCCATCAGGTGGTCTGACATTGAGCTGTACAATAGAGATGGTCTGCATCCCTCACACAAGGGCGCTCAGCTCCTTACTATGGAATTTAGGAGGTTTTTGGACATGCATTTAAACTGAGAAATGGGGGCAGAGATGTCATTGTTGAGGATCATTTCTGTCTCCAGCAGGCTGAAACAAAGTGTGAGGTTGGTGTTGTTCAGGACAGAGTTGCTCGAAGTTTAGGCAACAAGCTTTGTGAGCTGACAGCTCTTATGTCTAGGGACCACTTGGACCTTCTTGTAATTACAGAGACGTGGTTCAAGGATTCAGATGACTGGGAACTATACCAGGCTATACACTATACAGGAAAGACAGAGTAGGGGGGAGGGGAGGTGGAGTTGTCATATATGTCAGAAATAGCATAATGGAGAACATTAATTCAAACAACAAATGAAATACTGGAAACCTTCTGGGTCTGCCTTCCAACCAGAGAGGGATCTTCCCTTAGAATTTGGTGTCATATACAGACCCCCAGGACAGACTGAAGATTAGGAGGACTTCTTGATTGATGAGATAACTCAAATGGCAATGAAGGGGGAGGTTTTTATTATGGGTGACGTCACCACGCCTGACATTAACTGGAAATCTCAAACTGCTATTACAAGCATTACAGGGATGTAATGGAAGCACTGAATGGTGCTTCTCTAAAACAGTAAAAAGTCCAACCCAAGGCGATCATATTCTAGACCTAGTACTGACAAATGGGGATCGACTGTCTAATGTTGAGGTGGGAGAAAATTTGGGTTCTAATGATCACCAATGTCTTTGGTTTTGATATTAAAATAAGAACTGAAAAATCATATACAAAAACAAAAGATTTAGATTCCAAAAAGACAAATTTTGGTGAATTGGGTGAATTTCTAAAAAATGAGTTGAAAGGTTGGAGTAAAAGGACCGGAGTAAGTAATCAGTGGGCACTGTTAGAGTCTACCATCCTGGAGGCAACTAGATTATATGTCAGGCAAGTTAGTAAGAATAAACAGAAGAGACAACCAATATGGTTCACTAAAGAGAGAAGTAGGATAGTAAAGGAAAAGAAATCATCATACAGGAGATTCAAGGAAACAGGAGGTGGAGGTGACAGAGAAGAGTATAAAAATGTACAAAAGGAGGCCAAACACATTATCAGCGCTGCCAAAGCACAGAAAGACGAGGAAATTGCTAAATCTATGAAGAAAGGAGATAAAACATTTTATAGCTACATTAGTGATAGAAAAAATACGATGGGATCACTAAAATTAAAACTGGGCACAACACCTACTGTGTTGAGGGAGACCTGAATGTAGCAAACCACTTAAACAATGACTTTTGTTCAGTCTTCTCAGAAAATAAATTATACTAATAATAATAAGATGGGAAATCATATTGGTTCTAGTAATGATGGATCATTTTTAGGTTTTCTGGAGACAGAGGTGGCAGAGGAAGTTGCTCGATTAAAGCTTAACCCCTTGGCGCCGGCGTCTCCCTGCCCTTTGAGGGTTTCAGAAGCCGGGAGGAGGATGGGGTTTTTGTCAGGGAGCGAGGAGCCAGACACACGAGGTGCAATTAAAGGTAGGTTTATTGTACAAAAACAAGACATAGTCTATGAAGTCCAACAGCAACAGCAGATGACTGGGTAGGACAGTAGCCAGGAAAAATGGTCGCCAGAGCCGGGGTCAGAAGCCAGGAAGGATGATCACCAGAGCCGGGGTTCAGAAGCCAGGAAGGATGATCACCAGAGCTGGGGTCAGCAGCCAGGAAGGATGATCGCCAGAGCCGGGGTCAGAAGCCAGGAAGGAGTCTTGCCAAAACCGAGTCGGTATCCAGGAGAGCAATGAGAAACTAACAGGAGCTTGTTGCAATGCAACAAACAGGACATGAATGCAATGAGCAGCTGCAGACATCAGGCTTAAATGTGATAAGCCACCACCTCCTGGAGGAGGAGCCACAGAGGCCTGAAAGCATTAAGGATCCCACAATGCTTTGCAGACACCTAAGATGGATGCCAGCACATGGAGCAGCACAAGCCCTGAGGAAAGGTAGGACCTTGATAGTACCTCCTCCTCAAGGACCCCTCCCCCTCCGTGGCTCAACATAAGGCTTCTGGGGAAAGCGGGCGTGAAAAGCGTGGAGGAGGGCAGGAGCATGAACATCCGCGGAAGGAACCCAGGAACACACCTGGGACCATAACCACGCCAATGGACCAGGAACTGCACCCAACCGCGGACCAACCGAGAATCCAGGATGGGGCTCACCTCATACTCCTCATTACCGTCAACCTGGATAGGATGAGGCAGAGGCGGAGAGGCAGTAAAGAGATTACAGACCAGAGGCTTCAACAGGGATACGTGGAAGACATTGGAGATACGCATCCCAGGAGGAAGAGCAAGGGCATAGGCAACCGGGTACACCCTGCGGAGGATGCAGAAAGGACCAACATAACGGGGAGGCAGTTTCGGTGCAGGCACCTGAAGATTGAGGTTACGAGTGGACAACCACACCCGATCTCCGACCTGGTATGAAGGAGCGGGCAACCGTCTACGATCAGCCTGGAGCTTCTGGCGCTGTGCTGAGTCCTTCAAGGACTCTGGATCTGCCCCCATGAGGAACGCAGGGCAGCAAGATGGTTATCCACAGCCGGAATGTGTGCTGTGGCGAGAACAACTCAGGCAATACAGCGGGTTGGAACTCATAGTTGGCCATGAAGGGAGACATCCCAGAGGAGGAGGTGACAGCCGAGTTCCTCGCAAACTCTGCCCATGGCAGGAGATCGACCCAATTGTCTTGATGGTCTGATATATAGCAGCGAAGGAATTGTTCCAGGGCCTGGTTGGAACGCTCCACAGCCCCATTGGACTGCGGGTGGTAGGCCGAAGAGAAGGAGAGCTCGATACCCAACTGGGAGCAGAAGGCGCGCCAGAACCTGGACACAAACTGACTCCCATGGTCCGAGACAACACCTTGGGCAACCCATGCAAGCAAAAGATCTCCCTGGCGAAAACCGTAGCCAGTTCTTGCGCAGTTGGCAATTTTTTTTGAACGGAACACAATGGCACATCTTGGAAAAACAATCAATGACCATAA